GAAATGGAAATGCACATTGTGTTACATGAACCATTAGTCAGGATACAAAAAAAAATATACCAGTTTACAGGTATCCACTCTGCAGACTATTCCCACATGGATGAAACCTCTCTTAGAAGGTGACATAGTTGACACAGTGAGGCAGAAAAACCTATCTCTTGCTGCCTGGCCCTGGGGTGTCTTTGTTTTCATCCCCCACAGGCATGCCAGTCAATGAGTGTAGCCAAAATCCAGCACAAACAAGCAGGACATCAGATGCATTCCCATACAAGTCTTCAGGCAGTAACATCCCCAAGCAAATATGCATTTGTGAATGCAGTTTTCAGTCTTGAAAACAGACAGTCATATTTATAGATCTACTGCAAATATGCCCTAGAAATGCTGTTATGTAAAAATCACATAGTTACATATATAATATGAAGGCATGTTGTTGTAAAACTAGTCTTGCTGTGCATGTGTATTTTGATAGCCATTAATTAACATGGAGATAAATTATAAACATTCATACTATCACACACATCTTGTACAGGCATGCATGTTTATGCTATTGGCATGATAAACAATCTGCTGCAAGTGCTTTCATCTGTTTCCACGCAGAATACTTACCGCTGTGATGTGAAAAAAGCAGGTAGATGTTTTAGTTCTGTTGTGCAATTTCTTGTGCTAGCTGTTCCTTTCTATTTTATATGTAAGTTGGAAGCTATTTCAGACGGAATACATGATTTTACAAGGCAAAAAATTTGATCATTGGCCTGGGATTCTCTAATAATACATAGTTAATATATTAGATAATAGATAATGTAATAAAAATAGATAATAATGTGTACTTAATTTGTGAGAATTGGGATAACTGTATCATAGAATCATAGAATGGTTTAGGTTGGAGAGGACCTTAAAGGTCACCCAGTTCCAACCCCCTGCCACAAGCAGAGTTGCCACCCACCAGACCAAAGCTGCCCAGGGCCTGAGCTGGCCTTGAATGCCATCCTGGGAGGATGAAATGTTCCACTATTTCTCTGGGAAATCTGTTCCACCATAACCTTTCTCTAAATAAAAATTTTCTGCCTACCATCTAACCTAAACCTCCCATCTTTTAGTTTAAAGCCGTTCCCCCTGCTCCTATCACTATCAGTGTAAAAAGTCAGTCCCTGTCTCTCTTGTAAGCTTTTGACTTAGAGACTAGAGATTTTATCTACCATTTAGAATGATATCTTGAAGAGATTTTTGCTCTCCCTTTAAGTTCAGTAATGTCAGCACTTCACAGAAACGCTAGGAAAAAAAATCTCAAGTGATTGTTTCTCACACTGCCCAAATACTTATAGCAGTAGATATATATGAGAAAATAGATTTATAAAATTTATGTTCTTCTGAATTGTGGGTTTCTGTGTTTTTATCTTCCTGCATGAAAAAATAAGAACCTTTCCTCAAGCAGATCAGACTGATGAAGTATTTATATGATACAGCATTTGTGAGGTAGGAAAGGGTATTCATGGCAGAGAGCTGCAGCAGCAGTACACAGATAGGTGCCACAGTAACGCAGTGTAATAATTAATTGGGCAATGCAGTATTACAGAGTAACAGACTCAAAGAGAGACTTGAGAGGGCCTCTGGAGTTCTCTAGCCCAATGCCTTGTTCACAGGATTTATCCAAGTAAGTACTGAGTATCCCCAAGTATGAAGACGCTTAGCCCATCTGGGCACCTGTTCCTATGCTGAATTACCCTCAGGTTTTCTGTCTACACATTTGAACATACTTTTGTTGCAAGTTTTGCCTTTTTTCTCCTGTCCTTCACTGTGCCTTTCTGAGAAGTCTGGCTCTTTTTTCTCTCCAGCCCTCTCACTCCCCACAGGTAGAGAGTACTGCTATTAGATCTCCCCTTTGCCTTTATTTCTTTGGGGACAACTCTTATTTTGGAGCTGATCCCTGTCTGTCACACGTGTCTCATTAGCTCTATGCATAAGCAGTTGAGACTAGACTTTGTACTATGGAAGGTAATTTCAGGAACAGCAGCATGTCTCCAAGGTAGGAGTGGAAGGGATGAGCAGTCTGCAGAGCCCACAGCAGATTCAATGGCCAGGAGCAGCAACGTGCACTGGTGGTGCTGGAGGAAGGGATTTCATGTCTAGAGTTTGTTGTGGAGAACAATTGCAGAATCTGAATGGCATGGGAAATAACTTAGGGTATGGACAGAGAGAGGAGTGAAGATTTAAGTAGATGATCAGCATCAGAATAGCTATCAGAAAAGGCTTGAGGTTGTGAGAACTTTCTTGAAAACTTTTCCTCCATTAAACAACGATGTCCCTCCCACTTCCACATGCAGCATCCTTAACAGTATTTATACATTCATTGGTTTTTACACTGTTATCGTGTTCTCATTCAGAATTTAGCCAAGCTGGACATAATAATACTACTGTTTTCTGTCTCAACTCTTTAAGTGATGATATATTTTAAAATTCTCTTCAGCTTTTGTGTTGCTCAGAAAGAGGTAGTATCAAAAGAATACAACAGTGTAAGCACTACAGTGTTTTGGTTTTAGTTTTACCTGCATTCTAACGGAAAGGATATTGTCTTGCCTAGCATTTTTTCTATGAGGTCATCCTCTGATTTTTTTTTTAATCTTTCTCTGTCTTACTATTACTGAATATAAACTGAAGCAGTGCCAGAGTCCCAGAGAAATAAAGCATGTGTATGAAGCATTATTTAAGTGAGTTGAGACCAATTTGTCCTCCAGGACATCGTTATGTCCTGAGACTAGTTCTTCGTTCTTTCACATCCTGATTTCATAGTTTTCCAGTCAGATACAAACCATGAACTTTTCCATCTGAATAGATGGAGGACTTTAATTTGAACAAGATGGTTGAGAAGGTAGTTCATAATTTGGATTAAGTTCATAGTTTGGATTAAGCTCCATTTGATATAAAACAATTCCTCATGAGCATGTAAAGGCAATGAAAAATTAGCTGAGGTGATATGAAGGTGCATTTATCTAAAATCTGTTGGTGCTTGGCATTGCTGCCTGAAATAGATACAGTGAGAGAAACAGGGATTAATCTGCTATTTGCTATTGGATTTTATATGTGATAATCTATACAAAGTCTGGCAGGTCCTTCATCTTGATGTTTCACCATCCTGTCTATATTATGGAGATCAGAGCATGGCCACTCTTCACTGCTAAGAGTATGTATCAATTAATTTGGCTAGACTCTGGTGATAATAATGGGGTTAGTAATTAAATAAAATATAATTTTCCAATGCAGAGATGGGTGGATGGAAGAATAGGTTTAGATATTCAGGTGGGATCAATTTGTTTCAGAGATAGAATGCAAGTCGTCATAAGAACAGAATGATTTAAAAGCCTACATGCATGTTCTGTGAAAATATGTGAAAATATAGTAGAGATTTTAAAGGGAGCCATTGCACATAGTTCAAGTGTCTTAGGAATACATGCAAATAAACTACTTAGGACTCAGTCACATTTGGCAACTGGAAATACAACTTGCTTTGACACTGAAATGGCTGTTCAGAGAAGCTGGGAAATTTCTGCCCCTGAAGATGACTAGGACTTGCCCATACAATGCTCTGAGCATCCTGATTGGCCTTGGAATTAGCCTAGTGTGAGCTAGGAGAAACTTGGAAAGAGAAATTGGAAGAGACACCCCCCAGAGGTGCTTTCCGGAGTTCAACCTTCTGTGAATCTCCAAATCTATCTGATCTCAAATTCTCTTACAAATAAGTTATTTGCTTTATTGCCATTCTACTGATGATGTTTCAGTTAATGGAAACTGCAAGGGTACAGGAGCAATATCTCCTGCGTCTCTTAGAAAAGAGGAGAAGTAAAGCTGTCAGGTAGAATTGTCTCCTAAGCTCATGGTAGAGCTCCGTATCTCAAATGTCTTTTCATTCTCCAGCTGAAGCATCTGACTTTTTGCTGACTCCCTCTTGCCACTTAAAGTATCTTAGAGAAGTAGGTATTGTGCTAGGAGAAAGCAGGTTCTAGCAGGTGGGAATTGCCAAGATCACAGGCTCAGCATCAGGCAGGCAACTGATGTAAAGTCATAGTTTGTAGGTAGAAGTGAAGGGAAGAGATCTGTTCACAGCTTCTCAAATTCACATCTTCCCCGTATATACCATGAAAAAATGAGGGAGAATAGCTACTTGTGGGGGAACCTGATGGACATAGTCAGGATCCTCCCAGCTTCCTTGAGAACTCCTTTTTGACAAGCTGGCACAACTGACAGTTTTATCACTGATCCATGTGAGCAACATTGTTGGCAAGCTCATGTAGCTGCTTGTGAATTGCATAATATCAAATGTTTTCAAGATTAGTATCTGATAACAAGGGCTGGATTAGGTAATTAAAAAAAAAATCAGATGAATTAGAGATATATGGGGATTTACTAGAATGCTTTGGGTAGATAACGGGAGGTGCTATGTGGTACCTCTGCTATTTGTGAGCTGATGCTTCTTCTTTTCCACTCAAGACACCACCAGTGGCTGCATACCCTATTAAGCATTCCTTGGCAGCAGAGTGAACAGATGCAGGGCATTCCTGCAACCTATTTAGTAGTGTGATACCTCTCTAAATTTTAAGAGTTGTTTTGCAGTGCTGCTGAAGACAGCCCTAAGACTGGCAGCCTCATGTGAACAGTTCTGACCTTCTTTTGTACTTCCAAAAAGCCTGCCCAATCTTTTGCCTTCAGACCTGAGCCTGCTCATTCTGAGGATCTTAAAAAGCAGTTAGCATTCTGTTACCGTAGCTTGTACACCCAAAAGAAGATGCAAAGATTTTAGTGAGATTGGGAAAAGGGAACCAGGAAGGAAAAGGAAAAAAAATAATGAATTGCCTCTGTCTGAGTCTTTGTGTCTGTCTCCTTGCTTGAATACATCTGACTGCACCTCTTACTGTTAGTAAATATGCCTTTTCATTTTTAACAATACTTGTGAAGGAATATTTGCCTTCCATCTTCATTTTGCTCTCTCCTGCTTTCTGCTCCTCCAGCTTTATGGACAATACACAGACCAGATAACTGACTTTGCTGAGAAGGAAGCAGCAAAACTACTGAATACAAAGCAGGCCCAAAAGAACAACGAAAGACCCCTGAAACGTGAGAGTAAAGTAGAGATAAAAGAAGAGCGCTATTCCAAATGCCAAGGTAGGAATCATTTATCCTTGCTTACCCTGTGACCAGATATTGGGTAGAACAGTCAAAGAGATTGGAATTTAAGCAAGACAAAATGACAAGGAGACTTTGACAGGGGAGAAGTAGAGAAGGAATGAGGCACCATCTTGGTTTTAAAAGGTGTTTGCATGCTACGTGTAGGAATAACTGCTCCCAAGTTATTATTTTTTTTTTCCACAACAGATCTCTATAACAGGAGGGAAGTTATTTTTGCTGCTAGTGCACAAGAGGTTAAATTATCTTGTCCCTTCATTTTATTTTGAAACTTCAAAGAATTTTGAAAGACTGCAAGGAAGGGGTGGGTCTCAGACCTTCAACACTTAAGTCCGTAATTCTTTCAAATACATTCTTTTGGTGGTCAGTTCTCAACACAGAGGCACAGATTTCATCTATGTTGTCTCCATTTTTCTGGTTCTCTTTTCTCTCCACAGACTGTGCTAGACGCATCCAGAAATATGTCACCAGGAAACTTGGAGAAGACTGGATTTTCTTGGTTCTGTTGGGTTTGGTCATGGCGTTGGTGAGCTGGGGAATGGATTATGCCAGTGCAAAGAGTCTACAGGGTGGGTCTCATTCAGGTGTTGCAAAAGCATACTGTGAATGTTATAAATATTTTTACAAAGCCCAGTGACCAACATTCCTCTTCCTTTAATATCGTCGATACCTCAGGAAGACTTGCAAACACAGTAGAGAGGTTAACTAAGAAAAGGTTCGTTAAAGGAGTGATAGGGAAATATTTCTAGGTGGGCAGGGAGCAAAGGACATGCATACCATTCAAAGATAAGCCATTATTTTTACTCACTTTCAATCCTTCTCTTGCTTATGTGTAAGGGAGCACTGTGTGACTTCGGCCCTTCCTATTATACAGTGTGCCATCCTCTCCAGATCTGTTGAGCATATGGTGGATGGGGACAGGAAAGGGCTCTTTGATGCCCTCTTGATACAGTTCTCTCTGCCTTTATCCTCATTATTATTCTTCTCAAATTTTATTTATACAGTTCTCTGGTGTTTTCTGCTACATGGAACCATAGTGCTCTTTACTTAAACTTTTTTTTTTTTAACAACGATCTCACAATCACTTGCTTTATGTCACTTCTCTACAGCATTCCTCTGGTTCCCACACCCTTTTCCAGCTTTAAAAATTACAAAATCTTTCAGTGGCCTTGCCTCCCATCCCCATGCACACAAATACATACATCATTGCCAACATGCTGTTAATTGCACTTCAGAAGAAATGATTTATGCAAAATTCTTAGGAGCACACGTGTGTATTTTACTCCATCTCTTTCTGAGATTTTGGCAAGGAATCTCAGCTTGCATGTGTGCCAGAGAACGTCTCAAAAAAGGAACACACTCTGAGTTTGCATGCACAAGGCCCATGTTGTAACAGCTGGCACCTCTCCCTTCATGCTGCTGTTCTAGAAATCAAATTGTAAGCAGGGCTTCTGAGGTAGTTTTTCTGAAGGAACTGTTTTTCATGTGGTTGAAATGGAGGAGAGGACACTAACTTTACTGTCCCTCAGGGCCCATATAACACCCTCCAGCTGCTAAATGAAAAGGTCCTGCACAGAAATTCACCCTTGCAAGTGAAAGTAATACAGCTCTTCCAATGCCACATTACAGCACGGGTATTAATAATGTCTGACAGCAGAGAATCACTTGTATCCATTCCTGCAGAAAGCATATATTACTTGAGATTTTGTACTTTAAATGAAACAAGGTTTTACCCTATTTGTCTTAGAAAATTAGGACTTTTAGATAGCTTTTCTCAGGGAGATTTAGTAGGGGCAGGTGTGGGCTTTTGTTTGTGATTCTTTAAAGTTTACCAAACTGATTGGAGCATCTGTGGTTACTGACAACTTCTTTCTTTGTTTACAGCCTACAAGTGGATGTACAGAGAGCTGCACCCGAATGTTCCTTTGCAGTATCTGGTGTGGGTATCATACCCACTTGTTCTCATACTGTTTGCAGCCGTCTTCTGCCACCTCGTCTCTCCACAGGCTGTTGGTGAGGGTAGAAGGCATGGCAAGATCTGTTTTCGTCTGTCTCTTTTTTCTTATTCTTCTTGCCTTTGGGTTTTCTATATCCTCTGCTCTGTTGTTGTTTTCAGGGTCTGGGATCCCAGAACTCAAGACAATTATGAGGGGAGTGGTCCTCAAGGAATATCTCACTCTCCAAGCATTTGTGGCCAAAGTTGTGGGCCTCACAGCAGGGCTTGGAAGTGGCATGCCTGTAGGGAAAGAGGTAAATATTGCTATGTTCATGTGAAGTAGCAGCCAGGGTCTAGGAAGGAGTTGTCTATGCAAGAGTCTTTAAATGTTTCCTTTTCCTTGACTCCATTCCTCTTGTCAAAGCTCTGTTTTTCCCAGCAGCGCTTATCTTCCACTAAACATTTTCTTCTACTTTGAAAAGCTTGATATACGTAGGTAGCTCTGAAAGTAACACAACCAATTTATTTCTATGGAAACAAAAGCAGCTACAAAGAGCACAATAACACTGTTTGACAGAGCAAATTCTCAGCTACAAAATGTTATTTGTCAACACAGTCATCACCGTTAGCTATGCATTTTCACCAGCGATGAACAAGAGCCTGCATGCCACGCTCGTTAAAAATCTTCATGGACATCCAGAACGTGGCTTGTCTTGCATGTCACTGTCTCCTCTGCTGAAACACCACCCACAGCTTCATTGTGCTCACATCCCATGCTCGGTTTCCATCAACATTCAGCAAACATCAATGATCAATCGGTGCCATTTTTCCCACATGGAAGAATTCAGTTCCACATTTGCGCTTCATACACACATCCATGTCAGATGCCATTTTGTCAGACTGCCCCTCTGTCATACGACAACAAAATTTCATAGAATACTGGTGGGAATCAAAGAATCACAGAGTCATAGGAGTTGTAAGGGTCTTTTGGAGATCATCTAGTCCAAACCCCTTGCTAAAACAAGTTCCCTACAGTAGTTTACACAGAAAACTATCCAGATGAGTTTTTAATATCTCCAGAGAAGAAGGCTCCACAGGGTCCCTGGGCAGCTTGTTCCAGTGCTCTGTAACTCTCAAAGTAAATGGCTTTTCCTCATGTTCATATGGAACTTCCTATGTTCCAGTTTGTGCCCAGTGCCCCTTGTTCTGTTACTGAGCACAGCTGAAAAGTGCCTCGCCATATCCAGCTGACTTGCACTCATTAGATATCAGTAAGTGTTGACGATAAGACTTCGCTCAGTCTTCTCCAGGTTGAACAGTCCTAGATCTCAGCCTCTTGTCATAAGGGAGATGCTCCAGGCCCCTAATAATCTTTATGGCCCTCCACTGCACTCTCTCTAGAAATTCCCTGACCTCAAACTGCGGAGCCCAGAACTGGACACTGAATTCCAAATGTGGCCTCACCAGGGCAGAGTAGACAGGGAGGATCATTTCCCTCAACCTGCTGGCCATGCTCTTAGTACAGTCCAAGACACCATTGGCCTTCTTGGCCACAATGGTACAATGCTGGCTCATAGCCAACCTGTTGTTTACCTGGGCACCCAGGTCCTTCTCTGCAGAGCTCCTCTCCAGTAGATCAGACCCTAACCTGTACTGATCCATGCAATTATTTCTCCCCAGGTGTAGCACTCTGCACTTGTCCTTGTTGAATCTCATTAGGTTTTCTCCCCACCCAACTGGAAGGTTCAACCTCTACTGCCACACCAAGGAATTACTTTTGGAGCTGCCTTTGTAGAAAAAAAAAAAATAGCTCTTTCTAATTTGTTTCCTCCTGTTTTCTTGCAGGGCCCTTTTGTGCATATTGCCAGTATCTGTGCAGCAGTGCTCAGCAAGTTTATGTCAATTTTCTGTGGTGTATACGAGGTAAGGCACGTGTCTCTGGCATTCAGTTCTTCCACATGCTGAACTGTTAAGACACACTGATAGGCTGCACACAGACGGAATATACAGATTGAAGTTCACTATGCTTTTCTAAAGCAGAAAGATACTGGCCAAAGAAAATTGTAGTAGAACACCAGATGTACAACTGAATAACCATGCAGAATCAATTGTGACACAGATACTGGTTAAGAACACGCATTTCACAAGTTCTCTGTCTGACAGTTCCAATTCCTTTGCACTGTGATCAATGTCTGCGTGGGGAAAAAAAACAAAACAAAACAAAACAAAAAGCAAACCTTAAATAGCTGTGGATAAAGATCAATTTGTCTTTAAGGTAGGATGTAGAGCATTACTAATTATAGCCACTGACTCTGCCTCTGGGCTTTTGCTGTTGCAAAACGGCCTCTGCCGGCTGATTGATGTATTGACAAATTGTGGTCGGGAAAAAATAACCCAAAAACAACACAGTCGCTATTAACCACATATATAGCTGTGTGTAGGAACTGCTTTACAAACTCCTAACAGTAGCTGTAATACAACAATAGAGGTGCTGTTTCACTTGATCCTGTATATGCGTAAGGATCAAATCTCGCTACTGTAGGCTGAGTGTACTAAAAACTGTGCTAAAGTGTGTAGAGCCTGTTATTTGTGATAGCAGTGGCTGAATCTACAATTGGCTGTTGCTTTGTTTTGTTCTTCTGGACCCTAACACTTTGGCTTTGCTCCCTCTAACCACAGCATGCCTTTTTCTGGCTGCCCTCTCTGTTCCAGAAAGAGCACAGGCAGCTCGACCTCCTGGTGATGGCTTGCTCAGTTGGAGCTGGATGTTGCTTCGGGGCTCTTCTTGGAGGCAAGTGACTTCCTGTCTGTGACTTTTAATGTAAAACTCCACCTCTTGCTGTGAGACCTCCTGCTCTCAAGCAGGTCCCCCAGAGATGTCTCTCGACTTATTTAGCATCTCGACTTATTTAGTTCTTCCTTTAATTATGTAGCTAGTGGCATTGAAAGAAAGGGAAAGGATAATCTTGGAAAAGCCAAAGGAAAATTGATAGCTTTTGAGTGCAAAATTCTAAAGCAACAACTTCAACTTTTCTAACAATGTATCTCGCTCAGTCTCTTGTTCATTGTTCTCTCTCTCTGGGAGTCCTAAGGTCTATCCAGCAAATCAATAAATATAGAGAAGTTAAAAAAAAAAAAAAGTAATCATCTAATGGCAGGAGATGATGACAAGGATGACCAGGAGAGATGAACAAAGAATCTACTGTATTTATGCCTTCAGTATTGGACTGGAGAACAGAAATACCAGTGTGTAAAATTTTGCATTCCCCATGTAAAAGAAGTGTTGCAGGGCCAGGAAGATGGTTGGGGGGCTGGAATGACGTATGAGGAGAGGTTGAGGGATCTGAGCTTGCTCGGTGTAAAGGAGGAAAAGCTAATGGGAGATGTCTAGCTGGTGCCATCAGCCACCTAGGGGATTTTGGAGGAGATGAAGTCAGGCTGTTTTCAGAGGGGCTCAGTGGAAGAGGCAAGGACACAACTTGTGATAAGGGAAATTGTAATTTTTTATAAGGAAGTTGCTCCCCTTTTCCAAAGGTGGTTCAGTAATTGTACAGATGCTCGGAGAACCTGGAGAATCCCCACCCATAGAAACGTTAAGGACTCACTTGGACAAGATCCTGAGCACCCTGCTTGAGCCTTGGAGGTAGTGCAACTCTGAGCAGGGAACTGGAAAAGGGGATACCTTCCAGGCAAAAACTTGCTGTGAGTCTGTGACAGCATTGTAGTGTAAGAATGAATTGAAAGTTATCATAATTTTTATAGCTCTAGTTGATTTCCTCTTGCAGAATCACACCAAATTGTAGAATTCTGTTCCCTGGACCTAAGTCCAGGTTATAATTTGCAACTATAATTTTTTAAGGTTGTTGCTGGTAAACACCACCCTGTGTATTTAGTGAGGATCCCTCAAAATGTGTTTGAAAAACCAGTTTGCCTTTTACAATCAAAAGATGCCCAGCTCTGCTTTTTCTGAGTGCGCTCTGGTACTCTTTGTTTGTCTGCTTGTTTTAGCCTCTCTGGCTACTCCTAAATTAAATAGCATTGGCACTCACACACTCCGGGGGATGCCATATGCCATGGACTGTTCTCTGTGGGTGGAATGAGTAATACCATGTCATGCTTGATTCTTGCCATCTTTTACTGTTACTTCACTGTTTCAACAGGCTTTTTGCACTTTCAAACAGCTCTACTTAACTCTTGCTATACTGCAGACCATGTAATATGTACCCTTTGTTACAAGCTGTCCTGAAGGGCTATAACATAACCCACACACTGTCCCAGACATTGAATTGAAACTCACTCCCATTCTGGACACAATGACGTTTAAGGCCACATAAGCATTAGTAAGACTCAAAGGTGACCTAAGGCAAATCTGTGAATGTGGAAAGGCTCTTATGGGTCAGAGAATAATCTATGGCTCTTTTTTTTGTTGGGCTGTGCAGCCATAGCCTTGACAAACCTCTTCTTTGAGGCTCTATCGAATACTTTCTCAGGTAAGTAGGAATTCATTGCCTTTGCCCTTGGAATTCTCCCTGGCTGCTCAGAATGCCCATGTACACCCTTTCTCAAAAGTCAGCTCTCATGGAAGTCATAACAGACTGCTTCAGGAACACGTAATAGCAGAAAGTAGCAAATACACAGGTGTTAACCATGTTGTTCTTTATATTAGACACTACCTAGTATTTAGTTAACATGAAACAAAACCCATCTGCTCCATAAGGGTCAACATCATTCTCAGGCATGCCAGGGCCTTCAACTGCTCTTCCAAGTCTTAGAGAGTGGAAGAAGACCCTCTCTCTTTCCATGTTCTCCAAAACTGTCCCAGTGATTGCTTATAAACTTGCAAATTTAGTGATTTAACCAGGAGAGCACAATCCTTTAATAGGTGACCTGTTACCCACTCACTCTCCAGCCGTTGTCCATACCCTGTTCTGGATAAACCTGTGCTTTTTGTATGCAAACTCAGAGAGTGTTTCTCTTCTGAAACATTCTGGGGCATGTGCAACCTGAAATTCCCTACCAAAGTAAAAGAGAGAGTGAAACACACGTGTGTGCTCCATGCTCTGAAGAACCTCTCATGAAACATTCTTTCTGAAGCCACAGAAATATGTGTGTTTCAGTGAAAGATGAATTGCTGCCTTCTCTTCATGTCTTGAATATGCAACTCCAAGTGTATTCCTGTCTTGTACCACATAGAATCTGTCTGAATGTTTTGCAGCCATCCAGAATGTAGATGATGTAAGATTAGTGACAGAGCTGGGTGACAGTATGTGGCCATACCTGCTAATTCTGTCATTCATTGCTTTTTTTCTTTGTTTCTGTTTGTCTCTCTCTGTCTCTTCTACCAGTAGCAGCCATACTATTACACGGATGTCCTGACCGTGGGTTGTGCTGTGGGTGTTGGCTGCTGCTTTGGGACACCACTTGGAGGCAAGTGGCTGTTCTGTTTCCTTTTTCTCAGGTACCTAAATCATCTCCTGCCTAGTCCACTTCTCATTTCTCCATTTCCTGCACCCTATATTTGATCTGTCATATACCTAAAACAAAGAAGCTTGCCTTTAGTGCCACCAATCTCCAACCTCCTCTTACGCAGACTTTCTTTTACGTGTCATCTTTCTGAAGGGCATGAAGTGATGGCTTTTCTGAACAGTTGTTTCCAAACTGAGGGTGTGCACATCTCAGGAGGTCTGCAAAACAATCCACTACATTGTGGGAAGAAAATGCTGGACTGTCTACTTACACTTATTTTCTATCTATAAATAAGAAAGAAATTAAGGTTTGCCAGTGACACTGGCACTGATGCCTTCACTTGGTCCACATGTCACGTGCAGTTTGTGAGGTATTCTGGATGAAGATTGGTTGTCCCATCACACAGACGGTTGATGGTAGAGCCCTCACTTGTTCATCTCCTTTCAGTGTATTGCAAAGTATTTCAGCTTACCCAGCTGAATGGATGACAGTGCAGATGTTTCTATCCTGTCTTCTGGTATTTGCTAGATTCTGTTTCAGTAGTGAAATACATGAAGGAAGGACCTACCAGAGAAGATACATTCTCAACAGTAAATGACTTCTTTCATAAAAGCAATGGTTTATTGAAAAGCAATGCAATTGTAACAACTGATGGTGCAGTGTCATTGCCTGGAAAAGGATTCTTGTGTAATTATACCAGGAGCAGCACTGGCACATGAAAATCATTGGCTGCATGGCTCGGAAGCAAGATATTGCAGCAAAAAAGGGAGAGCCAGAAGTGCACAAAGTGTAACAGGATAACACTGATGCAGTTAATTTCATAAAAACAAAATCTTAAGACAGTAGGATATTTATAATAGTCTGTAGTGAGGTGAGAAATGACCATGGAAATCATCTGTACCACACAGCAGTTCAGAGGTTATCTCATGGCAAAGGACTTAAAAGAATTGTCTAATTTAAAGATGAGTTGAGTATTTTTCTTTTACAGAAAGGTGTTCTGAATTTCCTGATCTTTTCTGTCATGACAAGTGGCTGACAGCAATATGCTACCCAGCAAATGCTTTTAAAAACAGAAGCACATAATCTGTCCCTATGAGGTGAAAGTGCCATTTTAACACTGAGTGAGAAAGTACATGCATTTTCAGAGGGATGCTGTGCTGTGGAGATTTCATGATTTTCTTGCTGAAAACACTATGTGTCATTTATAAAACCTCTCTCATCTGTACACGTGAAAAGCTTGTAAGAGTTTTCTAATCCACTGAAAAACCTTCCAAAGGAAAATTTTCAGTGGGTTTGGAACACACTCGTTAAAGATACAAAAATATATATTTATATATAGATATATATTTTTTTAATTTAGTAAGTGCAGCCAAAGTTATGCTTCTCCCATTTCGGGCTTTGTGAGGGCTCTTTTTCAACTCTGATAGCCATTAAAACTAAATATGGATATAAACTGAACTTACAACTGCAAGTTGTATAACTAATTAAACCATGATTTTCAAAAATAAGAACAAGTACTAGTAATAATATTTTTCGTGAGAACAGTAATTTTTTGTACAATTAATAAAATAAATGGATCATAGAATGTTCCTCGTGTTATCATCTTATTGTTTTTATTTTCGTGTGTGCTTTATAACGTACCCAGTGCACTAGTACAGTATTGCACATCTACAATTTACAAATGTACACAATCAAAAAATATTTTACCAGTGGGGTACACAATCAAAGAAGTTTTGAGATCACTGCTTTAGAAGACTATTTAGAAGTATTTCTTGTCCTTCTGTCACTGCACTTCTGATTTTAACTTTACTCCTTTTCTAACTCTTTTTAGGGGTCCTTTTCAGCATTGAAGTCACTTCCACTTACTTTGCTGTGCGTAATTATTGGAGAGGTTTCTTTGCAGCTACCTTTAGTGCCTTCATTTTCCGAGTCCTTGCTGTTTGGAACAAGGATGCAGGTAAGCTAAAATCATTCCTGTTGTCTTTGTACAAATGTCCTTTTTTTTTTTTTTCTCCATCTTTCTCAAAGCCCTCAACTTTCAGGATGTTTGAGACTTCTGCCATGACACTGAAACATTGAACATCTAACAGCATAGAAGAAAAGAGAAAAGGAAGCATCTTCTATCACTAAATGTGTAACACAACTTATCCCAGTTCTTCAGAATATGACTGAAAAAAGACTGTGTATGAGTACCAATCAAGTAAGAAGTGTCCCGAGGTGGGATTTTTGCCTTTAGTCAGCATAATGTCATGACAGCAAATATAAACATATCCCACCACAAATTGGGTAATACATATTGCAATGTATGCAGTTCACTGGAGGCACCACAGCCTGGTTTGGTCATCTCTTGGCTAGATGCACACGATACAAGCAGTAGTCTAGAAAACTGAGGTGATGAAATGATTAGGAGGCTGTGGAACTGATTGGGTCTGACTGAAGGTCCTGAGGACCGAAACTGCAGCTCTGATAGAAAAAGAAGAAACCAACCAACTAAAAAACAAACAAACAAAAAACAAATAAACAAAAACACCATTTCAACTGAAATGTGTGCAGGCAGAAATAGCATAGACCAGGTGTGTTCAAGAAATCAATTCAGATACTGCCGGAATGAGATTCTAGTTGATACAGAAGGTTGCCATTCATAGGTAAATTTCTTGCTTACAATGCCTTTATCCTTCGTTCTTGCACTTTTATTTATTTTACTGATCTGAGTTCCACGTGGGCTCTTCCCATTCTAAAATTGCTGTAATTTACTCTCTCTTGACATCACAAAATTGGATTTTATTGTGCTAGAACATTATTTGCCTTGAATATTCTTTTTGAGTGTAGAAAGTGATGGCAATTTATGCTCTGAATGTAAAAAGGAACTGCATCTTTGCCTGTGAAACACTGCCTCATATTATGGGTTATTCAACCATCAGATCCGTCACAAAAACACTTGCCTCTCTTCTTTCCAGAGGAAAATAGAAGAAGGCAAATAACAGGAGATAATCCCCAATCCTTCACTTCATCTACTGTAGGCCCCTGCTGATCTCTAAAATCATTTGAAATTAGCTTAATCCTGAAACATCTTATCTAACCTGCCCTTCTTCAAAATCATCCAAGCAGCTTTAATAACCAGGGTGAATGCCTCAGTGACTGTCTGGATTAAAATGTTCCATGATCCAATTGTCTATGAAAAATCCAGGGTTTTTTGTTCATAATTCTGAATTTGCTCTGTTTGTGTTGCCAGAATCCCTTATTAGAGAATCAGAAACTCCTGTTTAGACCAGTAATTCATTATTTTACAGTCTTTCATCATGCCTGCCGTAACTTACCTTTCATGTCTTTTCTTTCTTATTTCCTTCTCTTACAACAGTTACAAGTCTTTTCAGTCATTGCTCATGCAGCAGTTTTTCTCAGATCTCTCTCTGATATCTTCACAATCTCTAGTTTTGTCTGCTCTCAGCAGTTATGCACTTAGTAGGTAAAATAATGTCTTTGCACTAGTTTCCTGTGTGGGTACTATTGTCACTCAGTAACAATGCCTTTTTGTGAGGTAGTTAATGTACTTGAAAGTAGATGGAGCTGCTTCCCTAATGCACACAATTCGTGTCTACCTGTAATGTTTATGTGGAACATCTAAGCTATTGCAAATTCATACAGAGTCCGTCAGCTAACTCTTCTGCAAGCACTTGCCATCTTACTGCAGAAAAGCTTTGAGATAAAATTATCAGAGTTCCAAGCAGGTGATAAATGGATTCCATGGAAAGCATTGCAATAATGCAGTATAATACTGGACGATGGGTGGTAGAAGAAAAAAAGTATGTACAAATCTGGGATTGTAGAAAGTGTATGTGTATATACTCTGAAAACAAACCTATATCATCAGTAGTGGTAGGTTTGCAAGTATTTAAAAATTGAGATTACTAAAATTAAAGCAGCCTGCATATCTGTAACATTGTACATAATATGAAACCATACGACACATATATAACTAATTCCCCTGTCTCTGCTTCCAGCTTTTATGCCATTTAACTTCTTACCTCATTATTCCCTTTCCATTTCTACCTCTTTCTTCTCTCACAGTTACCATCACAGCACTGTTCAGAACTAACTTTCGCATGGATTTCCCCTTTGATCTGCAAGAGCTGCCAGCATTTGCTGTAATAGGGTAAGTCACCAGGAACTTGGTTTCTTGCTCTACAAAAGATATCAAGTCAGTTCTGTTGGTAATTCTTTTGCGAAACAGAATAACTCCTCTTTTAGACATTTTGATTTTGTGTTGGGATTCTTCCTTCAGCAGTGGTAACACAATGGGTAATCTTTCTATTAGAAGATTAGAATCTGCTTGGGAGAGATGGTATGCTCCTTTCTAGCAGAGACAAAGACTTTTTTGTCAGTATGATGGCTCTCTTCATAAGGAGGGCTTTAAGTTAGGAAGGAAAGGGTGTGCAGAAAGTAACCAGAAGCCCTGTGAGGCACTGACAAACAGGGCTGCTGAAGAACAGGCATAGGATAATGTAATTGGGAAGGATCATACTGTCATCAAAATAGGCTTTAAGTGGGCCCAGGCTGTAGTTGCCTTTCTGGGCTGCAGTCACATATTGCCATCTCATGTTGACTCAGTGCCCCTCTAGATGGCATGCCCTCCTTCCAGCGTGTTGATCATACCACATAGCCTGCTGCTGTTGGCAAACACACTGAGCATGTACTTCATCCCACCATCCACATTGCTGACAGAGGTATTAAGTAGTGATGGTCAGTCCCTTAGGAATACCACTTGTCAGTGATCTTCACCTGGACATCCAGCCATTAACCACAATGCGACCATCTAGACAAATTATTAACTACCACGTTCTACCCCAAGGAGAAGGACTTTGGAATGTTGATGAAAAACTCAACATGAGATGGCAATACGTGACTGCAGCCCAGAAAAACAGCTATATCCTGGGCTGCATCAAAAGAAAGCATGACCAGCAAGGCAGGCTGGTGATTCTGCACCTTCACTCCACTTTCATGAAATCCTACCTGGAGTACCACTTTTAACTCTGGGGCTCTCAGCATAAGAAAAACATAGACCAGTTGAAGTAAGTCCAGAGCAGGGCCACAAAGGAGAACAGAGTAATGGAACACATCCTATGAAGTGAGGTTGAGATGTGGGGTTCTTCAGTCTTGAGAAGTCTGGAGATATTAAAGTGGCTGTTCAGTACCTAAGGGAAGCCTATAAGAAAGTGGAATTGGACTTTTTATTAAGAAATGTAGTGATAGAAAAAAGGCTAATAATGGCTTTAAATTAAAAGTGAATAGATATAGATTATATATAAGGAAGAAATTGTTTACTATAAGGATGATGACATGCTGAAATAAGTTGTCCAGAGAAGTCCCATCTCTGGAACTGTTCAGAACCAGGATAGATGGCAACCTCATCTAGTGGAAGGTGTCCCTGCTCATGTTATGAGGGTTGCAACTAGATGATCTTTAAAGTCTCTTCCAGCCCAAATCATTTTGATCCTATAATCCTGACTGAGAGGTAACAGATACCTAATGTTAGATCATCCTTGGTGACGATCCCTCTAATCATGGTATAAAGGCATTCATTAGAACTTTCATGGTCTCCATAGCTTACCTACCACACACATTTCTTTCATGCAAAGTGCAACTCCATTTCCTATCCTTCCTTTCCTGTCTTTGCAAAAGACTGTATGCACTGTGCACTGTGGTCTTCCAGTCATATGATTTTTCCCACCAAGTTTCTGTGATTCCTATGATATCATGGTTCTCAGATTGGAGAACAGGCATAGAGCACCAGTTGCTCCTGTTGCCCCAACTACATGCGTTGGTATGCATGCTCTTGAGATTGTCTGAGGCTTCTTGTCTTTCAAGAGGGCTGGGGATCTCATACTCTGGTTGGTGCACTCATCTGCCCTGTTTCTCTGGAATATGTAGGTGTCACAACTTTGGACACTATCACACCAAGTTTGGTACATTTAATATTTTATATAGATATATAATTTTGCTGGCTCAGAGTTAAACCCCCTACTTTTTACTATTTCCTGTTCTAACCTAATGTCTAAGTTCTGGCAATACTTATTTTTGACAAATTGCTCTTCACCAGACCACACCGAGATGTGCCAGTCCTATTTTTATAGAACCTGATACTGCTCCCATCACCCAAACATTTGAAGAGTTAAAATTAGAGACTGTCAGACAAACACAAGCTCTAATTAGTTTTCAGTGCATCAGTTCTGAGTGGAACTACTTACAAACCCTATATTCAAGCAACTGTAGATGAGATAAAGCTATTATCACGCTGTATCTGTATTGCCTACAGTCATGGTTCATTTCTTCACTGATACACTGTATGTATGCATGTGTATCTGTGCACCTGTGTATCTTTGGAAGTCTTTGTAGGTCAGGGCACAGAAAAGAGAAGGAGGGGACCAGCTAGAGATAAGGTGCAACCCTACTGCATTTTGGAATTGGACATCACATCCTGACATGACATTTTCATCTACAAGCATGAGAAAGTTTAGGAGCAAAATAGCAGTGTGTGACAAAGAGGTCCAAAACCATCTCTCCCTTTTCGCCAAGGAGTCAATGTTTTCAGCTGAGCTGCTGCATGTTGTTAAGTTAAAAGACATCATAATAACTGTAGATGAAAAACGCTTGGGTTTTGGTTGGTGGTTTGTATGCTTTTAATGGTTTGATATGATTTTATTTCATTTCCACTATTTTAGGATATGTTCAGGATTCCTTGGAGCATTTTTTGTTTATCTCAATCGCCAAGTGGTGCTGTGCGTCCGGCGTCTTACAGCTCTAAGCCAGTTTCTCACCAAGTAGTGAGTGTCTTTGAATACTTTGTCAGCAAGTTTTTGATACCCTACTGATAATGGATAGGAACAAATACTTTCTAGAAGCTAGTATAGCTATTTCAATTATAAAATTGTAAAAATGGAAAAAACTGAATTTATATCAGAGAAAGATATCTGCAAATACCAGTATAATATATTCTGAGATGGATTTTTTTCTAGACTGGCTCCAATAGCTTCAAATGGCACCTTGGTTTAGAAGGAATTCTGTAATACTTATTAAGAGGAGAAAGGAAAATATTGATTGGGCAAGAAATGTTCTTAACTAGAAAATCATTGATCATACTTCTGGAGAGGCACTGGGTACTTCTTTCTTAGAACCTATAAAAGAAACAAATGCTTATATTGTAAGAAACAGAAAACAACTGGAATATAACTACATCCTTAACATCTAAAATGTTTTTTAAAATCAAAATGGAGACAAATACGTAAAGAGTGTATCACGGTATTGAAATTGCTGTATATTCAAGAACCAAAAGCTGAAACTGATAGTAATCCAAAGGTGTGAATTGCAGCATGCAAGAGAAATAAAAGATAAAGTAAGATTTAGCAATAAAGGTTTTACTGACAACTTTCCACCCAGAAATGTGGTGGACAGGGATTCAATGGAAAATAAGGCAATATTTTCCCTTAAGTACTAATGCAACTAAGAGTGCATGCGGAAATGTATGGCAAGAAGGAGAACCACCCTAGGACAGGACAAATTGCATGGAGGATGAAGAGCAAGATAAAAATAATTGCGACAACTGGAGGAGAGGCAGGCTTTTGACGCTGGGTCACCTCACAGTTGTAAATACACGTCGCCTCTGTATAGTCAAGACTGTGCAATTTGTACATCCCTCCCCATTATATTACTTCTGATGGAAAAAATGGCTTTGCTGCCTGCTGAACTCTCTATGAATCATGATGGTCAGTGGAGCAGGGCATTAAATAGTCAGTGACACAACTCCAAAGCATGGACACAGATGCAGCAGAGAACTTTCACAGGAATAGCATTTATGTTCCTGAAATGATATTGCTACAAGAATATGAGGTTACATTTTAACAGACTTTTCTTTCTTTTCAGCTTCCTCATATACCCTGGGTTCATAACCTTCTTTATAGCATCCGTGACCTTCCCTCTGGGGTTTGGGCAGTTCATGGCAGGAGAGGTGAGAGTGGGATGTGCATTTTGAAGTATTTCTAATTCTGTAGAGCAATCTCCCTTTCTCCTGTTCCCCCATAACCTTACATCTTGGGAAGGAGAAGAAAGATTTAGGAAGAGTTTGATCTGAAGGACTGTACTGTGAGACGTGATCTCTGATATCCCTTTCACGTAAAACTTGAAAGAGCTCCACTTTCCTAAGCAAGTAATTTAGGAAGATGTGTAAAAGTTATTGTCCTTTTACAAGTTCAGGTAAAATCACACGTCTCTTCCTGAAGATCAAAATATGAATTAAGTCTCATAATCATGAATTGTTTAAGTAAAATTCTCCCCGACTTCCTCGGAACAGAGGCAGAATATTTAATCTGTCTAATGTCATGCTTAATCCCCGTTTGTTGTTTGTTTGGTTTGTTTTCTTTTCTTTATAGTTGATGCCACGGGAAGCCATCAGCTCTCTCTTTGATAACTACACCTGGGCAAAATACACAGGAGACCCTCAGATCCTAGGGAAATCTGCTGCCTGGATCCACCCCAAAGTCAGTGTCTTCATCATCATCCTGCTTTTCTTTCTCATGAAGGTACGAAGTTCAGCTCACTCTAACCCTTTTCCACTCAGAGTGAGTTCTCCTGATCCTGCATTAAAAATGTATCTGCCTATGACAAGTTGCTAGGTATTGAATAAAACACTACTACAGGAATGGGGCCTTATATCTTTTGATGGAATTTTTGCCTATATTGAATACAAGATCAGCAAATTTATTAGGGAAAAATTTTCTGGCCTTAATACATTTTCTCCTTCGGTAGTTAATCTTCATTATGCATCCTGCTGAATGACTTTCAGGAGACACAGTTTAGTGGCTGGTAGTAAAGACTACATCAGAACAAGTCTCTCACGGACTGAGAAAATGAGTATTTGAGTATAAAGCAAATATAAATATAATTTATATTTGGCCTAAACAAAGTCTCATGCTATTTACTTGATATCTAGAAGAAGTAGACGTGATAATGTTCAAAATACAATTACCAAGAAAGGTTTCTGGGAGGCAAGGAGTGTGAAAGTTGCAGAAATGCTTATTTATTTTTTCTTAAGAACAAGAAGAGCTGAAGCCACCTTGAAATACAAGTTGAACATTTCAACAGATCAAAAATAGGCATTAATGATTGACACAGCTGATTCCATCTAAAATAAAACATTTTATCAAATTTTTGACAGGCATCTGAAGGTTATCATTCTGTACTAATTTTGATTACAGTGTACTAAGCAGATAGGATCTCACTGAATGAAAAAAGGAATGGACTGCACAGTGCATCTTTCTTGAGCCCCATCTGTTCTCCTTTAAGACTTGTATTCTCAAAGACTGAATTCATTGGCCTTGTCCCACTAGTTAGGGAATGAGTGTCCAACCTTTTGGCTTCCCTGGGCTGTACTGAGTGAAGAGGAGTAGTCTTGGGCTGTGCACAAAATATGTAATATAGGTAATGTATGTAACTAACAAAACTTATTTTATTTTTAATTGCAACATAGAAGAGAGTAGTAAAACCATAAAACTAGTGGGATATTTGACCTTTGTTTTGTGAAACTAATGCATCAGTCTTGTTCGATGGAACTGGTTGCAGTTCTTACTGAGTTCTCAAGGTGTTCATCAAACATTTTCATGAAATTTTACTCCTCCTTTACTTCATCCTTGAAGAGTTGTTCATGTCATCACTTTCTGGGAGTACATACAGTTGTGAACAAGACATGACAGTGAAATGAGAGACAAGTCTAGTAGAGAGACGTGACCAAATTTTTGAGTTGAATATGTGATTACAACTCTATACATTCCACTTGAAAATTTCCAGGTAATGTATCGGAGTCAACTGAAAACTGAGTCAAAAAAAATACCAAGAAAAATGCATTGGTTTTTTTTCTGCAACCTTGAAAACTATTCTCAAATTCCAAAATTTCAAAATGGAAAGCAAGTCTGCATATTTTTTGCTGTTCACAGGACGGTTCAACCAATGTATCAAATGCATAAAATTATTTGCCATAAATTCAGTTGGCACTGTACTGCACCCTCCCCATGTCCTAGTTTCAGTCCAGACAGTCCCAGTCGCACACCAATGTTTGGTTATTGTTAAGCAGCAGATGTGCATCTGGGGCTGGGTCAAGCTGCTTAGAAGAAAAGAGCCACTGCCATGATGGCACAGGACAAGGGGCAACCACAGGACGGGCTGAGCCAGGCCATGTGTGGGCCATGGGCCCTGGGTTGGAGGTGCCTGGCTTAGAGTTTTCTCAAATCACGACATAACTGCTCCAAGTAGTTCATTTTTTATGCATTGGGATACACACATTAAAAAGTAACTGCAGCTTTGACTCTAGAAGACTTGACCTTATTCTCCAATTCATTATGCTCCTGATTCTTAGTTGTATTTGGTCTGAGTTTGGCAAGATAAAATTTAGGTGGCAGCATTCTACCTATGCAGTTTGGTGGCTTCTGTAGCCATCCAGGAGCCTCTTCATTGAAGTATTCAAATGGCAGATGTGAAGAACAACAGCCAGTATCAAGCTGATGGTCCAAACCATCCTCCCTGCATATTCCTCTGCCATGAGCTGAGATATGCTGTTTTGCTGGTTCTTTGCTACCTTTGTGGAAGGCTTTACATTATAGTCTGTGACATCATAGCCTGTATACTAGTTTCTTTTTCCTTTTATGCCAACCAGCCTATAACTGCAGAAAATTTGTCTTAGATGGATTTCTTCAAATTGACTGTCTAGAGGTTAATACCTCATCTGTCTACAGCTACTGCATTGTATGCATAGGCATCACCTCATCAAGGGTGGACCTTGAACAGGAATGATTTGCCTACTCTGAGGAAAACAAGACATTCTAGTTTAGGAGAAACCTGGAAGTATTGCTCTTTGTGTACTGGACTGTTCTTGCCTTTCTCCTACAGAAGAAACTGCTGCAAGGGAATTGATAGTACATTTCTTTGTACAAGCTCTTGAAATAGCAACATCCTTAGTGGATTCTTCAGCTATGGAAATTTCCTGGCCTTTCGCCTAAGAAAAGACAAACTTACTGGCACTCAAGGTGTTTGTAAGAATAGGCTGTTGCCTCCAGAAGGCTGGACTAAGTCAATATTTGGATTAGCCTCAGCACTACTCAGCAGCCAAGAGGGCAAATCACATTCTGGGGTGCACTAAACATAGCATAGTCAGCTGGCCGAGACAGTTCATTATCCCACTGTATTTAACATTGAATCTTGAATCTTTATTTTTTTATTTAACATTGAATCTTGAAAATTGAATCAAGCCCCACCTTGAATCTTGTGCGTAGTTCTGGGCTCCACAATATAAAAGGGATATTAAGATACTTGCATGTTTACACAGGAGGGCAGCCAAGCTGGTAGCAGGTCTGAAAGGCCTGCTGAAGGGAGGCTGAGAGTACATTCGGGCTGCCCAATCTGAAAAAGGCCAATTGCTCATTGCTCTCTGCAGCTTCCTGATGAGTGGAAGTAGAGGGAGGTGCTGGGCTCTGCTCCTGAGTAACCGTGAGAGAATGTAAGGGAACAGCACAAAGCTGCACCAGCAGAGGATCAGATGGACATCAGGAAAAATGTATTTACTGTGAGGATAGTCGAACACTGGAACAGGCTAGATACAAGCTATAATAAGGGAAACTTAGAGCAGATGGGCTTCAGGAAAAAATTCTCCCTTGAATTTGGCTTCTCAGAAACTTCCCAGAAAAGCTGGGGAATCTCCACCAGTCAAGTTGTTCAAAGTTTATCTGGACTAGGCCCAGAGAAAGCTAATTTAACTTAAGAATTAACTCTTCTGGAAGCAGGAAGTTGAGTGAGAGACCTCTAGAGTTCCCTTTACAGTAAATTTTTTTTGAGGCTATGAAATCCTGATAATCTCATTTTATAAAATTATTACTAATAATAAAAATAAAAAACCTGTTCAGAACAGTGGGAAATCTTACCTTCAGAAGTTCGAGGCAAAGGTGTTCTCATGTTCATTCTCTTGGTGATTTGGCTTCTCTGACAACACAGCAGTCACCCAAAGGTCTTCTGCTTCATTGCTGGTGTGATGCAAGAGTTTCTCTAACTCCCCTTCACACCTCACAGCCCCTTAGCCCTTCACCTCCCAGCTGAACTGCCATATCCATCAGATTATGTCTCCTTATGGATTTACACGTTGGTCAGTAGAGTGGGGCTGTAGGAAATGCTACTGCTACTCGCTAACAACTGCACCCTCTGCCTCTGTTCTAGTTCTGGATGTCTGTCATCGCTACCACGATGCCAATCCCCTGTGGAGGCTTCATGCCTGTTTTTGTTTTAGGTGAGTTCCAATTTTATGTTGCAACATATGGATCTGACAGGTAGAAAGGACAAGAGAAGGTGTGTACGTTCCTGGTAGGCTTCTTCGAGAGGATACAGAGTCTAGTTATCACTTCATGCCTATGACAATCTTGGTCAGCAGTTCTTATACCAGTCTCTTTTGTCCACACTCTTATACCTAAATGCTGAGGACATCTTTTATCATTTTACAAAAGAAAAGCCAAGCTGTGGAAAGACACGCTGAGTCATGGTCTTCTCATTTCTCTGACTCTTCATCTACAGAGAAACTCATACTACAGCTAGCAATAGTTGCTCCTTTCACTCCTGAAGGCCAATGAGAAGTCACAACCTCAAAACTAGTACCTGCAATGCCACTTCTCCGTCAGGGAGTGCGATGGCATATGGGAATTCATTATTTATGAAGTTGTTTACAAGCTCATGAAGTTCAGCATTAATTATCCACAGCCCTGAAATTAAATGAAGTGTGTTGAAGTGTGCTTACAATCTCTGGGTTCTGGAAGGCAACAACTGAACCTGAATCAGTAATATGCCCTTGCAGTAATGAAGGCTAACATCAAACAAAGCTGTATTAGTAAAAGCCCAATCAGCAAGGCAAAGGAACAGGTTATTTTGGAGCAATTGGCATTCTGCAAACAATTCTCAAATACTATTTTGTGTCCATCCACGCAGGAAGTGTGACAAAGTGCACTGAGTCTAGTGAAGGGTCACTGAGATTGTTGGGGAGCAAACAAAACAAACAAGGACAACCTGAGGAAATTGGGCTTGTTCAATCTGCAGAAGAGAAGGTCAAGAGGAGAGCTAACTGTAGGTTTCACCATCTAATGCAGCAAGGTATAAGGAAGATAGAAAGACTCTTCCTGGAGACACCTAGTAAAAAGGAAGCAAAAAGCACATGTTGCAACATGGGAAATTCTGATTGACATGGGGAAAAAATTGTTTCCCTGGTAAAGATTCCCCAAGAGGATGGAGAATCTCCATCACCAGAGACTTCTAAAGCAGGTTTGGTCAAGGCCCTCGGTGACTTGATCTTACTTTGAAATTAGCATGTTGTGATCAGGGCTCAGACCAAAGACTTCCACATGTTCCTTCCCATCCAAACTTTTCTGTAAGCTTAAGACTCTAGTATTTTGGACATTCATAGAGTGAGTGCACGTCAATCCTGAACTGTGATTTGGACTGACGTGACACAAAATATGCTGTCTTTTAAAAGACATTTCTCCCTGCCTGGGAATCACAAATACCACCATGCCTCGTGCATCTGAGTGGAAGAATGAGGGTTCAACTGTATTTACATATCTTAGTACATTTTTTTCCTCTTGGAGTTCAACTTTTGTATTTTGTAACTGAAAGCTATTGTTCAGTCCTGGTGTCATCTTTATGTAAGTGTTGGTTTTGTTTCTGTTAGAAATCACCCCAGTGTTTACCCAGCATAGCTACATAGCATAGACTTTATGCTCTTTAGATGTTAAATTCCATAATTGCTGGTGATGTTTTCCAGGTGCTGCATTTGGACGTCTTATTGGAGAAATCATGGCATCTCTCTTTCCAGATGGGATCCTCTTTGATGGTATTGTTTACAAAATCTTACCTGGAGGGTATGCTGTCATTGGTGAGTCTTCATGTCTTCCTCTTTCTCCACCTAATCCCATCCCCATAACTTTCCTGGCCGACATGATGTTCTGTTTCTATATCACAGTCTTTCTTCTTCTCTCCCAATAACTTTTCCATCCTATCTGGGAAAGGTGCAGCAGCTCTGACAGGAGCAGTGAGCCACACTGTTTCCACTGCGGTGATCTGCTTTGAGCTGACAGGTCAAATTGCCCACATCCTGCCCATGATGGTAGCTGTCATTCTTGCCAACATGGTGGCCCAGAGTCTGCAACCCAGCCTCTATGATAGCATCATCCAGGTGAAGAAGTTGCCCTACCTGCCAGATCTGGGCTGGAATCATATAAGGTACAGCAGTAGAGCAGAGATGGAGGTGGGGAGAATGAGACCATGGGAGAAGAAAAGGTCATGAAAAGCAGACAGTGTTACAAAGAAAATAAAAATGCAGAATAAATCTGGGCTGAGAAGAAAAAGCAACAAGAGAAGAAAAAAGAGGTGGAATAGAAATAAGGTCCATATGCAGAAAGCACAAGTTTGAATCATCTGCAATATTACTGAATTTCTGTAAATATTACCCATTTACTTCAGTTTTGAAGACTTGGACATTTGGATTTTTTTTCTTTTAAAAATGTTTGAAACATTTTATTTGGATACTTTTATACTTTTAAAAAATATAAAATCAGCTATTCTCCTACATGTGTCTCTATATAAAATGTATATATAATATACGTATATATGTATGTATATATAAAACATGTACGTGTATGTGCATGTATAGAAATGTGTTTTTATTGTGGAAGATAGCGGAGTGAAATAGACCTGTAATGAAATCCATGTTGATACTGCTCCAAAGTCCTCCTTAGTTAGTCTTAGAGATGATCAATTAGCAACTCTATAAAGAACACACTGAGGAAATTACCTGCTATACATTTTTAACATTCTAACTCTTCATCTTGTCCGTCTATTCACAGCAAATACAATATCTTTGTTGAAGATATTATGGTCCAAGATGTGAAATTTGTCTCCTCCAACTGTAAATATCGAGACTTGCAAACTCTACTCCAAAGCACCACTGTTAAGACTTTGCCTTTGGTGGACTCACCAGGTAAGCGACTGGTCTTTCCTGAAGGCTGTCTCAACTGAGTCAAAAGAAACTCTCAAATTACACACTTTGAAGAAGGTAGTGTGGTCCAATATATAACATGATTCATACTAAAAACTTTCCACTATGATTAAGTATGAAATAAGATTGTTTCAGCTTTAGCAGACAGGTAAGATGGAGTGTGAGAATTAGATATAGTATGTAAGAGATGTGTGGCAATTTTGACAAAAGGGAGGGATCTTGTATAAGTAAAGAGCCTGTTTCTGTTGTTCTCAGGAGTGCACAGATCAGGGATGGCTAGCTTCTCCCAGCCCCAAAGAATACTAGCAGCAATTAGCAGGGCTAATTTTATAGCTTGTGATAGTGCTGCTTCCAGCATTTCAAAGAATTTAAAAGGAAGAAAGGGCAGTGTGTGGCAAGTGGCATTCAAAACCATGAGGGGACTGAATAGTTTCTCTACTGTGTTATGCAGAGACCATGATCCTTCTGGGGTCTGTAGAGAGATCCGATCTGCAGGCACTCCTCCAGAGACACATCAGCCCAGAACGGCGACGGTGCCTCAACAGACAAATGCAGCAGAAGCTGGCTGAGGCACCTTATGATGGACACAGCAAGGGATCAGGAGCAATGCTGCCAAAGCTGAAGCATGAATCTTTCGTTTATGTTGATGAGGATGATGATACAGATGAGAAGGCAGAGGTGAGGGAGAAGAAAAGAGACTGCATTATAGACTGCTTAAGAAGCAGTAAGACATTTGGAAAGACTGAGAAAGAAATGACATGGGGTGGACCTTATTTTCTCTCCTTTCCGTAACAGCAGCCTCAGCCACCAAGCCCCTCTCCTAGTCACCCAGAGGAGCCCAATGGCCCAACAAATCCTCTTAAACAAACGCCTGAAATTTTGGAGCCACAGCAATTCTCAGGTATGATAACTTCTGGCGTGCCCCAATCACACCTTAGTTAGATTATGGAAGATTTAAAGCTTACTGTATGTAAATGTCTGTGCAAGGTGCAGGCTTCTCAGTTGTGGGGAAGAAATTGTTCTCAGTCAACTTTCTCTGCTTTTCTTGTGCTGGCACTTTGAAAAATGTACCTCACAACAATTACCTGAAATTATCTTCTTTTCGTGATCCTCTAGAGAGCATAGCAAAAGTAGGCCCACTCAGGCAGCTCTCTCTCTGTCAGTATCCTCAATTCCAAGGTTTGCAAAAACGTCTCCTTTGACTTTTGCTGAAGGTTCTGCATGTGAACTTCCCACCACTTGGCACCTTCACCTTGTGAATTATTCTGAGAAGTCTGAGAGCTGAACATATGTACTTATTTTTGGAGTTGCTTGGCCATTTCCAAAGCTGAACAACTCCTCCCTTGGATGCATATCTCTTGATTTCAGCTTATTTAATATGAAGGACGAATACTGACTTACTGTGTTCTCTTTGTGCTGCTCCACCTTCATTAGCTTTGTTCCCACAACTATGTTTGTATCTCGTTTCTGATTCCTATATCATGTATATTTGATACAGGATGGTTTAGTTAGTTTTTGTTTGGTTGCTTTTTTTTCCTTTGTGTGCCTTGAAATACGCAGACAGCGAGTTCACACAGTGGTACAGCCAAATTTTCAGAATTAATACAGAGGATGTGGTTCTGGCTCATGTTTTTAGATACCCAAATATAATATAGCCTATAACGTATCTGGAGCCTTAACACCACTTGTTTATGACTAAACCTTTACAGCATACAAAAATTCACTTTATGCTATGCTACCAGGGCAGTAGAATGGTGGAATAGCAATTCATTTTCCTTACCAAATCAGAAAAACAATTATATCAAAACAAGGATATTGTGTGAGACACTTTAAGTGAAATTAGTGCTGAGTTATCAAGGAGTCACAAAAGAAAATGAAGGAGGGATGACTTCATGAGGCTTTCCCTTCCATAATTTTTACTTTGGCTCACAGCTGCCATAGTTTCTGACCAATCTGAACAGCCTTGCTCACAACAGCACCAAACCCTATACTTTCCCATTTGCTAATTTCTGACTGTCCTGCCTAGAATAATTCTGCAGTTATTCTCACTCCCTCTGTTACACTATTGGCTCAGCCCATGGCCTTTTCACTCCCTCATAACTGTCAAGTCTGGCTAATTGGTATACTTTGATTTGAAGTGATTTTCAAATTTCGTTCCATACTCAGCCTTTAAATCAGATTCTCCTTATGTATTTCAGAAACCCTATAGCAGTTTCTTTCTTGTATCATATTGTTTGCTGTCTAATAGTCTTGCTTCTGTTTTTCTCCTCAGGGACATTGATCTATTAACATCATCTGTGTGGGCTATTTTGTAATGTTTTCTTTCCTTTCCTTAAGGAAAAGATATTGCATGGAAATATTTATCCTGGCATGTCCTAACCATCATCTTACAAACTGACTGCTGAACTGTGGCTGGCTAAACCCTGTCACGTACAGTATAAAATGTCCCTCATATTATTTTCTAGCCTGCCTTGGGCAAGAAGATAACCATAGAGCTTTGTATTTTTGTCACTCATTCATTCTTGTCTCTTATCCACATCTGTTTTCATTCTTCAGACAGTTTCCGGAATTTGAGGCAACTGTTCCAGCAGCTCTTGTGCCCTTACAACCGTCGACCTGAAACACAGAGTGCTGTCCAGGTTAGGGATACAGAAAGCCTAGCAGTAGCCTGGAAAGAGAAGGGATGTGATGGAAATAGAGCCTACTACCCAGAGCCTTTCAGCATCTGGCCAAATGATGGACATACATATGGTCATGAACTCCGACAGTGTCAGTGGGGAACTCCCTCCAAGGAGAAAGGATGTGATTACTGTGAAGGAGTGTACATCTTGCTCATGAGCCATTTGTGCTCAGGTATCAAGGCTACCATCATGATTGAGTCTGGGCATCTTTTTTTCCCAGCAAATGACATCATTTCCACTAGTCTGAAACAAAGTGCAAGTCTAGTTCATTTGGCACTATTTTTGGCTAGCTAAAAATGAAAAAAAGCTTTCGTCTTGTGCTACATTAGATGCCCTTGGGCACCGGGTTGGTGGATATCATACTGAGTCTCTGAGAGATCCACCCACTCTAGGACGGTAATTGGGCCCCATGTGAAAGCATCCAAAGCAGTACCAGATGACCCTGTTTAGGCACCTGACATAGGCCATTTTTTTTGGTAAGGGAAGAAAATTAAGTATAGAGTGCACTTTTCAATGTATGAGTATGAAGAAAATCTAATGACTTAGTAATATATTAACTGAAATAAAAAGGGGACCACAAGGTGTAAGGGGGTTATGCACATCTTTCCTTTCTGTACTCTGTGAAACCGAACAGCGTTTTCTTCTACAGGAGCCAGTGGAAGTCATTGAGACAATGACACCAGAAGAGGTAAGACTGAAAGGGAAGTAAGTCGAGTGAGTGTTTCTTTTGCCCATTCTTTATCATTTGCAGTTCTTCCCGAACTCTTAGAACAGTAATTGCCACATAAAACCATAGATAAACCCATTTTCTTCTTAGATTTGTGTAGGAGGCAAGTCTCACCCATTAAGAGATTTTTTCTGCTAGATGTAATGAGTAAGGCATCGAGTAATCTCATCGAGCTTTGAAATCAGTCCTTCTGTGAGCAGGATGTTAGATCAGAGGCCTTTGCAGGTCTCTTCTCACCTAAAGCTATGGGTCTATGTTGTTCCTTCATTCTTTGCAAAAAGGAACTATTACCTTGTAAAGACAAGTGGAAGATGCACTCAGGAAGGAAAGCTAAGATGTTCACTCCCTCTTTAAGCAGGAAGGAGCAAAACTCTCCCTACCCAGAAAACCTCAGAGATACTGGAATTTATCTCTTCACACAGGGACTTGATACCTTCTAAGAATAAGAAACCTGAAGGAGGTGATATAGTATGCAAGGCAGGTGGATAATAGACATTGGATGGACAAATGATTAATGGGAGAATGGGCACAGTCTGGGTACATAACCAGCAGCACTGCTGATTACTATGAGTGGTTCTCCTTTCTTCTGTTAGATAGATGCTTGGGAACAAGAGGAGCTGGAAAAGGATGTGTGCTTTGAATGCTGCCGCATAGACCCTTCCCCTTTCCAACTGGTGGAGAGAACCTCTCTGCACAAGGTGGGTGCAGACATCTCTCTGAGGCATACTGTTTTTGTCCACCATATCTATCATTAAGTATCGTCTATGATATGTCTTCTCCTTTTCTTCACCTACTCACATTGTCTTCATCCAATTTTAATTAACACCAGCAATTTTCACGTCCACATACAGGAGTAATTTTTTTCTCTATTTTTCTGCATGTATTTCCAGTCTCCTGGAAAAAGAAAGGCTAGAGGTTAAGAAGTTTAAGTTCTGTTGTTAAATAACTTTTGGACACACGTAGAACTTTCCAGCCATTGCATCAACAGAAGCACTATATGCAGTGCTGCCTGCGGGCATTACCTGGAGATACACACTGCTTTGTTGATGCACAGCACTGGAATGACTACTCCTGGATTCCTCAAGGTGTTTCTGTCAGCGTGCAGAGTATTTCTTACTGTGTGAGAAAAGCTGTTTCAAACTAGTCTACCTCATAAGGTTGGTCTTAACTGATCTGAAGCACAAGGAAAGAAGAAACTAGATCATACTGGTGACCAGTAAGTGATAGGACTCAAGGAAATAGCATGAATTTGTATCAGAGGAGGTTCAGATTAGATATTAGGAAGAGTTTCTTCAACAAGAGAGTGATTGGACTCGGAAACAGGCTACCACAGTAGTGACCACGGCCCCAAGCTGCCTGAGCTCAAGGAGCAATTGGACAGTGCTCTCAACCTTCAAACATAGGGTTTGAATGTTGGCTGGTACCAGGTAGAGACAGCAGTTGGATTCAGTTATCCTTGTTGGTACCTTCTAACTTGGAATATTCTACGACATGACTTCCAGAGTTAATATAGAATGACTGAGGCAAAAAGCAATCATTATATAGCTATATCAGGAGAAACAGAGGATTGGAGTTTCGTTAAATGGAAAGGAAAATTGGCCTACTGAAGCAAAAGCACACAGTGCAAGTTTTTAATCATTATTTATTTAATGTGAAATGTCAGTATATGCCTTGCACAAAATTAATTACCATTATCAAAGTGGTAAGATCTAAGCCTTTAGCAAAATAAAAAGAGGCTGACATACTTAAGATGGTGTTTTCTAAAGGACTGGCTGAAGGAATCTGAAACCCACTAGTATCTGAGATTACAGAGGTTACAAGATGTGATACCTGGAGATTTCCAATGAAGAACATTTCATATATCTCTTTCTTTGTCAGAGAAACTCTGAAGTAACAGACAAAAGTCAACCTAAATGCACAAGAAAAAAAAACAGGAATAAGTAACCAAACTGAGGTATGCACGGTCAGAGCTAAGTGTGAGAATACTGACAAGAATATCACAGATTGTGATCATATTGTACTTAAGCAGTTTGCTTCTCTTTTGCATGAGAGTAAAATGTCTTCTGCATGAAGACTGACATTTTCCTTAGTTTACAATCAATTCCGCATGTCATATGATGCTAAAGATAAATACCAGCTCAGAAAGAACTACTTTGTGTAAGTCCACAGCCATAGCTCAGCTTAAAGAAATTAAAGGTAAAAAATATTCCACAGATAAGCACTGAAAATGCTTAGTTTCAGAAAACCTGATCTTTAAAGAATAGTAAAATAATGTAGTATATGTAGGCTGGAGAAGACTGATAGCAGTGTAATACCTATCTTTTTCAGAATACTTTCTAAGAGAAAGGTATTAACTCTTTTCTTTTGTTGCCACTGCATTGGATAAACAGCACCAAGATTAGACAAGAAAAGAACAGGAAAAAAAAAAAACCAACTTCTGGTGATAAGGAAAGTACTGGAACAAATAACCTAAGAAAGTTCTGACTATGCATATTACTACGATAGTTTTATTTCCAGCATGAAATGAAAAGGGATCTGTGTAAGTCCTTAAATGCACAGGGAGTTGTATATGAATCTCTTTCCAGATGGAGGATGGAAGTGATTTTGAGAATGTGCTCTGCATTATCAACACACTCCTATCTACAGAGGGGCAATAGAAGGACCAGAGATTAACATTTGCTAGCTACAAAAGGGGAATGGAAGCAGTAGTTTCTCACTTTGGTTACGAGGCTTGTATGCCTTTGGCATTCCTGCTTCTAAATCCTAAATCCACCAGGTATCACCTTACCAGTTTTCAAGGCCCCTGAATTTTTTTGTGTGTTTTTCCTCTTAGACGCATACGTTGTTTTCACTACTGGGCCTCAGCCATGCCTATGTAACCAGTATGGGAAAGCTGAAGGGAGTGCTGGCTTTGGAAGAGGTAGGTACAGATAATCTCAACTCCTAATCAAATGCAAATGTCTTGTGCATCATTGCAAAACACTCACAGGTTGGAGATCCAGCTCAGAGTATATATAACTGTGCTTGCTCTGTTTTCAATCCAGTGTTGAATTCTGACTCATCACTCTGAGAGCTATGTAGAGGCAAGGATTGGGTGACTGTATTTCAGAGAAAGCAGCAGATGTTATTTACAGGCACGTTAGACTGTTTGTCCTTTTCCTGAAAGCAGACCTCTTAACCGAGCAGCTATTATTGCCTCAGTAGTGCAGGATTTGTTATTTACCGTGGACTAATTACAATACCTGTATGAAAGATGATCTCAGGCCCCATCGCTTATACAATGATGTGACTCTATCTGTGAGTCCTTTACCCCGGAGAGCCGATGAACTTTTGGGTAGGGCTGAGTCAGGGTAGGGCTTTTGGGTAGGGCTGCTTCCTTTCATCAGTTTTTTCTCTGAACTCTTTCTCTTCTAATAGCTTCAAAAGGCAATAGAGGGCTCCACACGCTCCGGAGTTCGCCTCCGCCCTCCACTTGCCAGTTTCCGTGACACAAACAGGACTTCAATCAGCGGTGAAAAGGTCAGCCAGGGTGCTCAGGTGTGGAGCCAGCAGGACAGCGGCGTGGTGGCAGCGCAGCAAGCAGCAGACTTGGGGACAAAAAGCACACTGCCTCTGCACTCACACTCTCCACAGCCCTCTCACTTACACGATGAAGGGGAAGGCCTGTGCTCCAATTATGCCACCGATACCGAGTTGGAAGAGATGGAGCTGACAGGACCAGTTAATGAAAACATCTCAGACATCTTGAAGGACATCAGCCTACACACCACTGACCTGGATGAAGATGAGGATGAAGATGTCCCGTTATAGGTGGTGTGAGGGCATAGACCATCGTGTTGAGCCAGTCTTGCGTATGCTCCTCACAGCTTTTGGATGCTCTTTGCAAACCCCATAGAGAATTGATTCAGTTGGGGGAAGGAACATAGGACTTAACCTTTTTTTCTTCTGCTTTATATACAAATATCAGTTGGGTTATTGAGCTGTGTACAGGAGTCAGATGTAGTCTGCAAGGTGACTGAGGGCAGGCTCATAATGTTAAAGGCCTCTGCTTTCACTTGTGGTGAGCAAGTGTCTACATAACATGTCAGAAAGGATCATAAGAGGGCATGAATATTACTGGACATAATCAGGATGCCCTCGGTCAATCCTCCATATAGAAAGTGGAGGGGTTGCAAATCTTCTCCACTGGTGTCATCCTTATAGTCACACCTGACATGCAGGCACCAGTGCAAACCTGACCTCCAGCCAAGAAGTGTACTGCTGCTTCTGTCTGCAGTCCTGTCTGTGTTGCTCCTTTTGGCTAGCTCTTAACTTGCACCCCCCAAAACATTCCCATCTAGAACATTTTTCCTCTTTCTTAATTTTTACTCTGGGATCTTCCTGGGTGGAATTGCAGTTAGATGTTTCTCCACTGACCTTTAGCAGAGCCATACCCTAAAATCAGGTGAAAGGAAGGAAAATACTTGGTCTACATTTCATGTCTTGAATTCAGCCAGGGCTCAAAGAGAAGCACTGAAAGTGAGGAAAGCCTCTGTCCTCCCATCTCTAGAATTTTTAAACAGAATGTGAAAACCCTAAATGGGGGCATCCTCTGTTGGAGGGAGAGGAGTAAAACACCATGTACGCGCCTGAACAACTGTCAACTGTGTCTCTCAAAACCACTGTTGGAATTTTTACAAAGTTATAGTCTTAAAATACAAGAACTTAAAATTAAAAAAAAAAAAAAATTAAAAAAATGGAGTACCAAGAAATACAGGAGAGGGAATCATTTTCTATGCTTTGGAAACAGGTTCATCAATAAAACTCCTGCTATTTTTCCTGATAATTCTGCTCTATTTATTTTCCACATATTTCTGCATGTCATAGATCAGAGAATTCTAGCTCCCACTTTCCCCTGTGTCTCCAGTGACTAGAAGTAGAGACTACAGCCCTTGTCTACAGCATCCCTCTATTCCAGATGTAGATCTGAAGGAGATCTTGATCTGTATCTTGCAAAGAGATGTCTCATAACTTCATGTCATGGGTGCAAAACCATAGTATCCAAGGGTAAGATGTTGCTTTAACTCACTGTCCTTGTGGGGTTTTCTCAGTAAACATGCAGAATTCGATTTGGCCTATTCTGCAGCTTTTCTCTAACATTCTATTTCTCTTTCCATCATACTTTCAGTGTGTCAAAACACTTAGATGTGATCCCAAGTAGGCTACTGGATGTGTTTTCACTTATCAGCAACACAGAAAAAATTCAGGCTCTGAGAATATATTCTTGGGAATATTCTCCTGGATTTTGAGCCACATCCCTTTCCTTGATATTTATAAAGCAGTATCTGACTTAGAATGACCAGTTTCACCTCAATGGATGGTCTTCCATAAACTGTCTCAAAAGTAAGTAGAAAAGACAGTTACCTCGAACCTAGTCTCCCTAGGAAAATTCCCTTCTGGCCTTAATTCCAAGGACTGACCTTGTACTAATTCACTCTTCTGATACTCGTGGATGGAGAAGTCTGGTAGAGTGAAATCTCTTAGAGTCTCTTGGAGAGGGAGAGATTTGCTTTTGTTCTCTGAAGAGCTCAATAGCCTACTCTGTATTCTTTTACATGATCCCTCAGTTTGTGCTACCTAGGGACAGCCTTTCTTTGTCTGAAGTGATCTTCAAAGATCACTCCTTTGAGGGCCACCCTGTCCTTGAGAGAAGCCAGTTGCATTGTGAAGGCAAGTCTTTAACTCACACCTACCTCCACCTGAGGTTTGGGGCATATTTCTGACAGCCAAGCATTAGAAAACAGCCTGTAGTTGCTACTTTTGTGCCACCTTCCCCTGTTTGCAAAGAAGAGATAATACAACCGCTATTTTTCCCAGGTAACTGTGATACACCTTGGTATAAGCAGAGAGAAATAACATTCCTTTTAAATATCCATAAATGCACAGTGAGTAGTAATATTCTGAGACCAATTATGACCTGAAGGTCCATGTATCCTCAGGAAGGACAAGTTGCTCCGATTCAGCCCTTTCCAGCAAGTACAGATTTGGTTCTACCACATTTTGCTTAGTGAAACTACTGCACTGAGATAAGATGGAGAAATTTAGAGGCTGGAGTCAGTGCATCTCTGCTGCTTCTAGAATACAGATACATGTTCTGCTCCCCCACTTCTCCTGTAGTGTATTAGAAGAACATGGATTTGACTGGATGGGAGAGCAGATGGAACCTAAATCAAAGTCAGAGAGTGCATGAGTCACGACAGACAGGTTGTGAGCTGGGGGAGATGAAGCTGGAACAAAAAACGATGCACATGGAAGGGCTTGGGAAGCTCACAGTAAGAAACAAGCTAACCTGAAAAGTTTCATGAGATTTGTTACATGAGGGTACAAGGGCATATACAGGCATGCCTGCACAAACACACACATGTATCTCTCTTCCTGTTACTCTTAGCTGTCTCAGAGTAACTTTGATGAACTGGACTGTTCTCTGTGGGGAAGCAGTAAGCAGTAAGATGCATGTTTTTACTGCTGCTTTTGGAGACATCGCTCAAGATCCATTCCAGATATGACCTCACCCTTCGAGCAGAAGTGGTATTCATCTGTGTCCCTTTCTGAGAAAAATTATGCCTACATGAATATGGACTGGGAGCCAGGAGGAAACAAAAAAACATACTGCAAAGATGACCTGTGATGTCTGACGATGTTTCCTCTTCCATTTTTCCTATAATAGAATCTTCACTGAGTTGATGCTAAGTATTTTAGCAGGTGTGAGATGTCCAGTTAGCTGACACTGAACTGTTGTCAAGAAAATTCTACATCTGCTCTTGGTCAATCCCAGCACAATCCTCCAAAGTTTAAACTTGAAACTTCTCTCCTACATTCAAAGCATCATTGATCAGTCACTATACCTGTATCTCTCATCCTGTCAAAGTTTGACAGAACACACAGAAATAGTTTTTCTCCCAGATGAAACTGTCCCAAAAATTTGTTTCATCAATGAGACCCTCCTCTTCATAGAAAAAAAATCAAATCTCAAAAATCCAAGTTCAAGCAAGCCTTGAGAAACAAGAAGTTCTGAAGCTGTTTTGAACAACAGAAACTTGCTTTTCTCCTAGATAACCTGTGCAGTTGCTTAGAATTACTTATTTTGGGCAAAGTTTTGTGTCACACCAAGCTTGCCATTATCACTCAAAGTGCTGATACAGTGTTCATCTTGTTCAGCATTTTCAACTCCAAGCACATGCTGAACTACATTTGGTACCCAACATATAAGGAAATACTCTGAAAAGAACATGATCAGAGCAGACATTTTTAGGAAATCACCACCAAACACACACATACAAAAAGCCACTAAAAATTACCCTTTTGCCTCGTATTCTCAAGAAATGGAAACCAACTCTCATCTAATTGCCAGCTTACTGTTTTTCAGTTAATGAGTGCATGAACTTATTTATGAAATTCTTATCTACCAAAACTTGGAAGTCTTCCTTTTATGTGGCATTTAAATTTGAAAACAGAAGTCCTGTTTTTAAAGTCATACGTAAGTTAAAAATAAAGAAGGCAAGACTAATATGACAATGGATAAGGCTTTGGATAGTTATGACAAGGATAAGGTGCTTTGTCATGACTTAGATGAAGGAGAAATCACATATTGACAGATTAGTGGACAACCAAAAAAATATTCTTGAAAAAGAACCATGTAATTTTTTTTGGTTGACACATTATTTCAGAATTAAAAAAAAAAAAATCTAGTTTGTTAATCCACAGACAGGAAGAGAGAGAGACAGACAGAATTAAGAGTGCTTAAAAAATAACTCTGCATAAATACACACACACATACAGGTGATGCAAGCACTGTACAGAAGTGTTTTGTACATGTTTTGTGGCCAGACAGTACAAGCCAGGACAATAACTAGCTGAGGAAGGAAAGATCATTACTTGCCAAATTAGTCCAATCTTAGTAAAGGTATAATTAAAATCATATGTTAAATATACTGTAACAACTAACACTGAGTTGTTCATGGCTGCATAAACAAGGATCTGGGCACAACTCTCTTAACAACTAAGCACTGGATTAATTAATTAATATTAATAATTTATATTTCTGCATAAAAGCCATGACTGAATATTAGAGAAAAAGACTTCTTATTTTAAGCCACATGATGCAAAATTTTAAGTTTTTATTTATGGAAAGCAAGCTTAAACTTGGCCTGGCTATAACTGCAGGTTTTCTTTGTGTCCCCTTCTCATAGTGGACAGTCAAACAGTCAACAAGTACAAAGACACACATACACACACACACACACACACACACACACACAGATATCACAGAATCACAAAATTGTATGAGTTGGAAGGGACCTCTGGGGATCATCAAGTCCAACCTTTCCGCTAAAGCAGGTTTCCAGAGTATGTTGCATAGGAAAGTGTCCAGGCAGGCGCTGAATATCTCCAGAGAAGGAGATTCCACAACCTCTATGGGCAGCCTGATTCAGTGCTCTATTACGCTCAAAGTAAAGAAGGCCTTCCTCATATTTGTATGGAACTCCCTGTGTTGTAGTTTTTGCCCATTGCCCTTGTCCTGTCACTTAACAGCACTGAAAAGAGCCCAGGCCAATGAGATCCTGATCTTTAGGTATTTATAAGCAGTAATGAAATCCCTTCAGTCTTCTCCACGCTGAAGAGTCCCACGTCTCCTAGCCTTTCTTCATATGGGAGATGTTCCAGCCATCTTTGTGATCATCTGCTGGACTCTGTTCAGTAGTTCCTTATTTTTATTGAACTGAGGAGCCCAGAACTGGACACAGCACTCCAGATGTGGCCTCACCAGGGCACAGTAGAGGGGGACAATAACCTCCCTCAACCTGCTGGCCACCCTTTTGATACATGTTTTGATGCACCTCAGGATACTGTTGGCCTTCTTGGCCAGAGCGGCACACTGCTGGCTCATCACTCCATCTCCCTTTCCAAATCCTGTGTTTGCAGTAGCAGACAGGTCTATAATTGGGTTGCCTGTGTTACGAGTCAAATCTCCCCTCTTCAGCTTGTTGGAAGTCAGTAAGACCTGATGCAGCCTCATTGTGCTAGGGACAATACTGTGAATATTCACTGGGATTAGCATGCTGACTAATGAAACCAGTCCCAGACAAACCTACTAGTTTGAGCACTGGGCTTTCAGATGTGCCTTTGCTCTTATCCAAGCAGTTTTGGTGTGCTGCTTGTGCAAACCTCTTGTACTCCATAGTAAAAATAGTTACTGAGACACATCCAGCCAACTTAAAAGACAGGACCTGATATGGAGAACAAAAGATGCTGAGGAAAAGTCCAGTAGCAAATTTATAAAATAAACAACTTAGAAGGAAATGCTTCTAGAGCATCTACATGAATTGCTTGCTTTATACAAACTGCAATCTAAAAGCTGTTATATCTGGGTGTTCAGTGAATAGTTACATATTTATTTTAAAGGACAGATGATAAAATACGAAACCTACGTAAGTGGTGGTAAGAATTAAAGTCACACATACTCAAATTAGAAACTTCACAATTATTCTGCACAGCAAAAAATGCAAAATACAGCAATAAGAAGCTTATGAGAAATATAGTTGTGAAAAAAAAAATTCCTTTTGCCACCCTCAGATTTCTATTGTGCACTTAAACAAATAGGCTTTGGGAAAAGAAAACAAAGAAAAAAGAAGAAAAAAAAAAAGGGGGAGGGGGGGTTGTGGAGGGGGAAGGATGTTGTGGGATGGTTGGATTATGACCAAATGTGTCACAGAATTTGATTTATTTAAACTGAAAAACTAAAACAAACAAACAAAAAAAACCCTCTGGCAGCTTGGAGCCATGCCC